ACACAGCTAGAGCAAGTCACACCCCCTGAAGGGGTACAGCAGGCAGCGGAAGAAGCAGCAGAAGGCAAGAGCTATGGCAGCCGGTGCAGTGGTGGCATATTCAGCTGCACCAAACCCTCAGCCATGGCAGATGCAACAGTGGCGGGTGCATGTGGCAACAGAACGCCTAGAGAGGGGGTGCGTGCGGCGGCAACGAGTGGCGGCGCATCAGGGTTCAACGGCAGCACCTGTGCTCAAAAGAAGCAGGCAGCAAAGGCAAGTGCAGGTGGTGGCAGGGGCGGCAGCAGGAGGTGCCACAGTAGCAGCGCGCAGCAGCTGCAGATGCCCGGCTGACTTCCGCCACCCTCTCTCACCCTCCCCCCAACAGTTGCACGCGCGGCAGTGAGAGGGAGAGAGGAGGAGGGGTGGCTGTTGGAGCGGCATAATCTCTCCTACCACTCCCTTAACCTCCCCCCTACAGCCCGCCACCTCCACCTGCACTCCCGCGTCCCCCCTACGGCCACCACCCCCTTCCCCATTTCCTCCCCCTTCCGCCCCAACAGCGATCGTCGCTGTAGACACGTACGGCCGCGACAAGGGTATGCGACGAGCAGCGGGGGCGGACAAAATGGGTGCGCACAACGGGCGTGACCAACGTCGCACCGGGGGACGCGAAGAGCGTTGTGATTAGGGCCGCGACGGGGTGATAAACGGGGCCAGCGGGGCGCGCGATATGGCGACGAGTAGGGCCAGAAGGGTGCATGACAAGGCGATGAGCGAGGCGCATTTCGCGCTGTGCGATAGGCTGATTTACGGGGGCGTGCCATGGCAAAGGCTAGCGGTGGGACCATGATAAAAATCATCGGCAGCCTAGGAGCGTAACAATTTGGATACCATGTCAAAATAGTAGGTTAAGATTCTTAGGAGCCATGGCTAGGGTTTGAGGAAACGAGAGTAGCGAGAAGTTTGTCCAACAAAAAAAGGGTCCACTATAGAACGAGGTACAAAATATAGGCAAGAAACATGAAACAAGAGGTGCACCACCAACAAGGTTTGTATAACTACACTAAAGCTAAAGCTACAGGCAGTTATAAACGTATATGAAAATCTGTATCATGACAATATAAGAGCACCAGTTCTTAGAATAAACCATGTTTGGGGGTGCTTTTCTAATTGAGTAAAATCTATAGCTGCATGAGCTTACATTGTGACAGATATAGATTTACAATATTATAGCATCTCATTAAATGCACACTTTGGTGAAGGGATAAATGAAGGAAATGCACATTCAAAATATACTTACTAGCGATTTGGACCTACCTCAATGAAGGGTCAGTGACAAGTGTGGCTAGAACACGCGTGACAGTAGGACTAGCAGCACGATCAGGAACGTCAGGCAGAGAGGACGCTGGCGGAGACGGCAGGACAGGAGAGGAAGGACGAAGTGCCATGGTGTGCGTGCCACAGACAGGCGGAGGACGAACACGGCGAGCACGACAAACAGCGCGAACAGGCGAGGCAGGACGAGACGCAGGCTCACGACGCTCTGTCAAGGAGTCTGTCTACTCCGTGTAAGGAGAAGTAGCAGGCAGAGGAGAGTCAGGCAGTAATAGTGGCTGAGATGAGTCAAGTGGTGGGCACAGTATGGGAGGAGTAAGGCCAGTGGAAGACAGGAAACTGGAAAACTGGTGAAGCACCGAGCCTGGTGGCGGTAGTGACGACTTCGGCAGAGGCCAGAAGAACGGTCGTTGATGCATAGGCTGCGCAGCACCCCCAGCACTAGAACCTCCAGTGCCCCTGGCCCCATTAACTCCAGCACCTTTAGCAGCAGTGTCTCCAGCTCCAGCACCTCTAGCACCAGTAGTTCCAGTCCCAGTACCTGTAGCACCGGAACCTCCAGCTCCTGTACGTCCAGCACCAGCAGCCTCAGTACCTCCTCCAGTACCTCCAGCGCCTCCAGCTCCAGAGTCAGCAACCGCAGGCTCAGGACCTCCAGTGGCAGCACCCCCACGCTCAGCACCCCCAGAACCAGCACCCGCAGAGGCAGTACGGTGGCTAACCACCCACTCACGCAGCTGCTACGGCGAGAGAGTCTCCTGCGGACGCGACGGCAGCGCTAACTACCTCCAGGTGCAACACCCCCAAACTCAGCACCCCCAGACTAAGCACCCCCAGATTCAGCACCCCCAGACTCAGCATCCCCAAGCTCAACACCTCATGAACCAGCACCTCCAGCGTCAGCACCCTCAGAGCCCACACCTCCAGCGCCACCACCTCCAGCAGTACCGGAGTCCATAGCGACAGGCAGTAGAGGCGGCGAAGACGGCCAAGGCGGAAAACCAGGAGGGGTCTTTAAGCTCGGGGAGCGGCGAATGGTCGCAGTGTAGCCAGCAGCAGGGTCACCCCCCTCAGCCAGGCCAGAGGAGACTTCCAAAGGCTCAACCAAGGCGGAAGGTGTGACCTGAGACACACCTGAGGGAGCAAGATGCGAGGGGGGGTGGGGGTCTACAAGGGGGTAACCTGGAACCAGGAAGAGGGGTGGCGGGGGGACAGGAAACGAGACGTGGGGGAGGAGACGGTAGTAACAAACCGACTCGTCAAAGGTGACGTCCTTGGAGGACAGGACATGACGCGTGGCTGGGTGGTAGAACTCAGCCAGGTGCGTCAGTGGGAAAGCCAAGGAAGGCGCAGCGAACGGTGCGAGAAGAGAGCTTGTCCGCGGTGGTATCGCGGCAGGGCAGCAACGCTCGCGAGGCAGCGTGCGGTAGCAGCGCGTAGCAGAGGCTCGCGACGACGTGCAGGGTAGAGGCGCGCGCTACGCGCGGGGCAGGTGTGGCGCGTAAAGGGCACAAAAGGGGGGGGAGGGGGGGGGGGGGGGGGGGGGGGGGGGGGGGCGCCACGGGAAGAAAAAATCGACATGTGTTAGGGGCGCGCGACGGTCAGCTAAGAGGCCCCACTAGGGGCGCGCTATGGGAAGTGGAAGGGGCAGGAAGCTTAGAAAAATATGGTCCTTAAGTACCACCTGGTCTATACCATGTTAAACTTAATAGGCTATAGTGATAGTCATTAGGCCAACAAGGGTGGCACAACCCCCTAAGGCTAGTCCCAACATAGCCTACATACATATATAGATATCTATCTTTTGACAATACATACATACATATATAATTGCTCAAATATTGACAAATAATTATTTTGCAGTTGATAACTCTCAATCGGTTGTTTGGCTAGGTACAGTAAGGTCTCAAGTTCAAATCCCGGCGGCGGTTGCAATGTTTTGCGGCGTTGCAAGGAAACCCTCGCTACAGTCTACAGAGGATTCGGTATCAGTATAATGTACAGCAACCCCTGATACCGGCAGGGTAACCGAAATCGTTATCAGTGTAAATCAAAACCTTTTTGCTCAGGGGGTAAAAAATGTCGATACTACCCTGTTTTCACAAGGGTAACTGGGAAAAAGCGGCCGCCCATCAGGGCAAAAAATGTATTTTACCTTCATATTTTGGGCCCTGATGGTAACGGTAATGCGAGAAATTGGGGTGCGCTACAGGCCTAGCGCTGAGGTTGGGAAATGTCGAGGCGGAGGTCCGGAGCGCAAGTTACCAACCGAACCGTGAGGTTGGGTCGTGTCGTGAACGGTGGCGAGAACAGTGGTCGAGACGAGTGTCGCGAGTGGTAACGGTGCACTGTTGGGAACTGTTGGCGGGAGCAGTCGTGTATGCGGTAAGGAGGGTCGCGAAGGAAAGGGAATATTGAATGGGATGAGAGATACCGTATTCTCCCGGACATAACACCCTAGGGTATAGCTAAAAATACAGGGAAAAAATTGGGGGGGTCTCCTCATAGGAAAAAAATACATACCACCTGGGTCTTTACATATGGCATATTTTAGTGTTAGTGTTTTTTCAATTAGTCAATGTTGGTGTTTTGCTGGTCATTTTAAAGCCAGGATCTCAAGTAAGAGAAATTGGCTTCAATTGCAAAACACTTGCAGCTCGAGTCACCCTGTTTGTTTAGGCGAAATCGAGTGGTTGGCTTGGAGGTTCAGTGTGCGACTGATCCCCGATTTGCCCGTGAATCTCAATTGCAAAACAAATTGCTGTACACGAGATTTTTCGGCAAGTGAGACACATTGCTGGGAAACGAGCTTCGGAACCCAACCAGATTTCCGTGCCTAGTTGGTTCGGAAGTTCACTGCGATTTTTGTTTGCTTCGCATCCCTCGTTTCAGCTCTCGTCAACTACTCTACCTCGTCAACCAATCACAGCCTAACACAATTGACTAACTGCAAAACAGCCAAACTACTTGAGATCCTGGCTTTAACATCACTGCCTGAGGCACGAATGTGAGTTTCGGCCTCGAACTTCATCACCCCCACGAAAATGCCATGTGGCACCTCTCTTGCCACTTGCAGCGGAAGATTCACCTGCACGTGGCGACAGCGAAATAGTGGGGGGGGGGCAAATCTTGGCAGATTGCATTTGAATGTACCGCGAAATTTCATCGAGGGAGAAAATCACGCGATATTTTTCCGTATTGCAGCTACTCGTTAACGACTATAATAATGAATCCGTAAGAAAAGGGGGGTGTTATAGAAAATCAGCCAAAAAGGGGGGTATAGTAGAAACGATGTCTATCATAACACCCACCCCGCACAAGCTACCCGGGAGTGTACAATTACGGGGGGGTGTTTTGTCCGGGAGAATACGGTACAAGAGTGAAACCTTAATGAGTTGTCCCCTCTATGGTGTACCAACTACAGCCTACAGTAACAAATAGGTATGCACAATTTACCGTAACATCAAGAACCCCACTTTATTTCAAAAGGCCTGCAGTACCTTCAATCATATCTTGAACTACCCTATGTACCTGTAGGCTGTGACAGTAATCACCGCAAAATGGCACGAGTGTCGTACTTGAGTCCCCTCCTGCACCTTTCATGCATGCTACTGGCAAAGAGCACCCAGGTGGTGCTTGATGGTACCGCGGCCCACCCACGCGGTGCTGTCTGTGACCATAAATCACGGCAAAATGGCACCAGTGTCGTACTTGAGTCCCCTCAGGCACCTTTGGCGCATGCTGCTGGCAAAGAGCACTCGGGTGGTGCCTGATGGTATCGCAAACTTGTAGCGCCCCACCCACGTGGTGCTGTGCAGCATGATGGCTAGGGTGAAGTTGCATGTATCGAATTGCTTCTTAATGAGAGCAGCCACAACGTCATTGGGGAAGCCCCACCACTTGAACACTGCCAAGCATGCCACCGCGGGAGAAAAGGGAAAGGGCAATTAGAGCACGGAAAAGGGCATTTAGAGCATAGACAGAGGAACAGAAGCAGAGGGAACGCATGGGGGAAAGAACACGCACACGCAAGGCATTAGCATGTACAATGGTGTGAGGAGCAGTACGAGAGAGGCATTGACCCCTGATACAACAAGGCCCTGGTAGCTGCAGGGATGTGATACTTGCACCTCTCGTGGCAAGCAAAGGATACAGGATACAGCACGACACGCTCACTCAGGATACAGCCAGCATGCATGCATGCACAGGTCTCACCAAGCGTGTCCCCCACTCGCAGCACCGGTTTCTTCCACACCCGCATTCTCCACTCGCTCCACGGGCTCACGCCCCCCCCTCCCACCACCACTAGCTTCGCCTGCTCGAGGGAGATTGTGTGTGAGTGAGAGGGAAAGAGGCGAGAGGGGTAGAGAGGTGGATACATGACGCCCACACCCATCACCTCTGCCTTGCTAGGGTGTGGAGTGTATACGTGTGTATGTGTGAGTGTGTGTGTGTGTGTGTGTGTGTGTGACTGTGAGTATGTGTGTGTGTGTGTGTTAGTGTGAGTGTGTGTGTGTGTGTGTGTGCGTGTGCGTGTGTGTGTGTGTGTGGCCTGCATACGAATGTGGGAAGAGCTACTCATCCTCTGAGGCTCATGATGCGCTGGTGTTGATTGATGCCTGCTCCTAGCTAGTTGTGACTTACCTGGCCTGCCCGCTTGTCTGTACTTGGCTATCTCAATATACGGACAATTTGAGAAAGAGAGAGATAATGGAGTGGGTGGGGGAGGAGGGAGGAGTAGGTAGAGAGCAGGTATCAACAAACACCAGCACATCATGAGCCTCCAATTTCTCCCAACATATAATGAGAGATAAGGAGGTGAGCACCATCATGTGCATCGGATATTCTAAAAGATCCACACTCTATAACGCATTCATACCTTGGTTGTTGATGGCACTGCTGCGGAGATGACAGCCACATGCAGTGAATAGTGGAGTGCAGGCATGGGAGCGAGGCACGGGAGCGAGGCACGGGAGGGAGGCACGGGAGGGAGGCATGGGAGCGTGAGGTGGGGGTTGAGGAAGATGAGACGCATGGCGCGGAAGAGGCAGTGGAGAGAGGGTTATGGGGAGGGACGGAAGACATGATTTGGAGACAAAAAACTCAAAGACTCGGAACACAGGTCATTCTTGGCGCTGCACGAGTCATTCTTGGCACTGCACGAGTCATCCTTGGCGCTGCACGAGTCATTCTTGGCACTGCACGAGTCATTCTTGGCACTGCACGAGTCATTATTGGCACTACACGAGTCATTCTTGGCACTACACGAGTCATTCTTGGCACTACACGAGTCATTCTTGGCACTACACGAGTCATTCTTGGCACTGCACGAGTCATTCTTGGCACTGCACGAGTCATTCTTGGCACTGCACGAGTCATTCTTGGCCCTGCACGAGTCATTCCTGGCATCGCACAGGTCACCAACACAAGGTACAATAGCTCACCTGCGAGCATGAGGAGAACAGTCAGAACCAGCGCAACGTGACCCAGTCGCGAGTGCGCCGAGAACAGGACCGCCATCATTGAAGAGCGTTGAGCGTGGCTTCGAAAAGAGTAGCACCCAGGAGTCGCACTTTTAGAGCTTCTTGTGATTTGCTCGCCTCATACAAGGTTCGTCAAAGAAGAGAAGCGCAAAGATGGCTTCACGAGGTTATGTAGCGCCATGCTTGCAAAAAGCAGCGCCTCTTATATGCCCACCGCGGCGCGTGGACGCGCGACGCTGGGGGAGAGAGCAAGTGAGCAGCGGAGAGTGAGAGCGGAGAGGGCGAGCGGAGAGGGGCCGCGGAACGGCGAGTGTAATCTGGATTGAGAGGGAAATAGGTGGCGGCGAATAGCCGTTGGTCGGCTGATTACCGTCGGCCCCATCATGGTGGGTAGTTTTGTTTTTTTGTGCGACTGGCCCTGGCAAGTCAGCAACGGAGACATGGCGGCATTAGGTTTTGATTATCACCCATCCTCTCTGTTCGGGCGGGTTCTGTGGCAATAGATTCATGGCCCAGTCGCGTTCTCTCTAAGTGCGTGGTAAGCAGAAGGGGAACGGCCGGGAAGCTGGTAGGCGCGTGCTTAGCAAAAAGGAGCCATGGAAAGCAAGAAGTGTTTTTGCGCGAACGAATGTCGCACACGTGTGCGAGCACGTGAGGCGGCGACGCGACGAAAGACTTATGCCAGAGCAGCGCGCCGCTCGCTGTGAGTAACGCAAGAATGTCGGTGCGGTCGGCGGACCAATGCGATGGGTGGCGTGGGACGGGGGAATGTGCGAGCTGCTGGCAGAAGGTCGAGGGACGATGCAGAAGTGGGGAGATGAGAAAGATGTTGGAGGTCAGGGGGGATTCGATAACATATTTCCGTCGTTGGGTGACCAAACCGCTGTACTCAGGTGCCGTAACCACAAGTTCTGTAAACGGAACCTCGTCGCAAAATGTGTCGCAGCTTCTCGCAGTAAGCACAAGTTGCTAAACAGTGCCGAATTTGACAAAATTTTCCGTTGCCGGGACTTGAACCCGGGTCTCTCGGGTGAGAGCCGAGTATCCTAACCGACTAGACTACAACGGATGGTGACGTAGGAGGAGTAGTTTTTTTTATTAACAAAAATCAGTTTAATGTTGAGCAGTGAGCGTGTCAAGTAGTGTGTTGAGCAGCGAGCGCGAGGAGCAGCCATGGCGGGCATGGGCGATGGATACGTGGGCACGGCGGCGGACGCGGTGCGGATTCGGCGGCTGGAGAAGCAGCGGGAGGAGGAGCAGGCGAAGATGGAGGAGCTGCGCAAGAAGTCGTCGCAGGGCCTGCAGGGGCTGCTGCAGTTCGGCACCGCCACCTCCGAGGTGCGCCCTCCGCGCGCGCCCTCTCGCGCGCGTAGCTGCGCGCTGCGCTCCGCGCACGGCTCCCCGGCCACAGTACCCGTCTAGCTGAACCTGGGTCGGAGCTCCCATGCAATCTAGGTGTCGCGGCTGCGACCAAGTAGTACGAGCCTTAGAGGTTGCAGTAGGAGGTCGCTAAGTACGGTGAGGGGACGCGGAATTCTTGACCCCTTTGCTTCGCCGCAAACGTCACGTCGAATTCACACAGGGCGACGGAAGCAGTGCTGAGCCCGTAGGCGAGCGCTCGAATCGCCGCAAGCAGCCCCCGCCCCTGTGCCCGTCTAGCTGAACATGACCACAAGCGCCCCTCTCCCCCGAGTAGGGATGGCCCGAGCCGCGCGCGAGGAGCTTTAGCCGATGGCACTGCGTGGGTGGGCTCTTACACACATCACCGCGCGCCGCCGTGCCTGTCCTCGTCGAGAGACGTGACCGCAGTTGACGGCAGCGACTGCCCTCCGCATGTGTTTCTCTGGAGAAGTTTCTTGCCCCTCCGACCTTACCTCACCATCTCCCCCCCTCTCTCCCCCGCGCGCGCTCCCTCCGCCCCGCTCCCCCTACCGCTCTCCTTATCCTCGCCCTCCCTCCCCCCTCCCCTTCCCCCCCCTCGTCCCCCTGTCCCCCTTTCCCCCCGTCCCCTTCCCCCCCAGACGCTAGAGACGGCGTTCAAGAAGCAGACGGTGGGGCTCGTCACGCGCGAGCAGTTCGTTGAGAAGGTGCGCGCGGAGGGGGGAGGGGGAGGGGCATGGGGGGCATAGGGGGAAGGAAGCACGCGGGCATAGGGGGAAGGAAGCACGCGGGCATAGGGGGAAGGAAGCACGCGGGCATAGGGGGAAGGAAGCACGCGGGCATAGGGGGAAGGAAGCACGCGGGCATAGGGGGAAGGAAGCACGCGGGCATAGGGGGAAGGAAGCACGCGGGCATAGGGGGAAGGAAGCTCGCAGGGGGCGTAGAGGTAGCTAGGTTGGCAGGGGGGCAGACGGTGGGGCTCGTCACACGCGAGCAGTTCGTTGAGAAGGTGCACGGGGGGGGAGGGGTGAGGGCGGTCATGGGCAGGTATGGGGGTGCATGGGGGGGGATGGGTTTTGAGTCGTCTCAGGAATCACGCGCAAACAGTTTGTGGAGAAGGTGCGCAAAGGGGGGGAGGAGATGGGGGAAAGGGAAAGGGGGGCATGGGGGACACTAGGAGGGGAGGAAGTGGGGTAATCAGGCAAGGGGCGCGTGGGTAGGAGATGTTTGTGTGCTGTATGTATGTGATTCCTGTGAGGGCTTTGACATGTGCTGGCTGTTTTCTGCGCTCCTCATTGGTGTGAAACACTCTGGATTGTTTGACCCATGTTCCGCACATGGCATGTAACACGGCGCGGCATGGCACGGCATGGCATGGCATGGCACGGCACGGCACGGCACGGCACGGCATGGCATGGCATGGAGCAGAGGGCGACGCTGCGCAGCAAGATGGAGGAGGAGGAGCGAGAGGCCAAGCAGCGACAGGCAGACGAGTAAGTGGGGATGGGGGATTGAGTGGGGATGGGGGATTGAGGGGGGATGGGGGAGTGAGGGGGGATGGGGGAGTGAGGGGGGATGGGCATGGGGGAGTGAGTGGGGATGGGGAAGTAAGTGAGGATGGGGGAGTGGGTGAGGATGGGGGAGTGAGTGGCAATGAAGAGCGGAGGGACTGGAGGGATGGATGTGCAGAGCAGAGTGAGTGAGAGCAACTCCCATCCCATCCCATGCGCGCCTGTGGGCTTCTTCTGACAAGTGCATGTCAACCTTGCTCTCTTGCCATGCACACATGTGTTAGTGTTAGCCCTCAATCTCACATTTTGTACTTGTACTTTTTTATATCATGATTTAATGTAGTTTGCACTTTGTGTTTGGTTGGGTGTACACCCACATCCTAACCAAACCCAAATGTAATCTCCAAGCAATCCCCAACCCACCAATTGGAAATTGCCCTGGGATTACCCCAGTCCCTAGAGATTGCCCCGATTCCCTCCCCATCCATCCCTTGCTCATCCTGGATGTACTTAAAGAGCTTCAAGCTCTTTTATAATGTATGGATTCTAAGCTCAAGTTCTGACAACATGCCCCTACTACCTACCTCTCTCATCCCGCCCATTTGAGTCAAATAAAAAACTTCTCTCTTGCCATGCACACATGCCTACTCGTACTTTCTCATCTCGCCCTTGCACCTCTTTCACCCACCCCACCGTCCTCCCCATCCCACGCCATTATCACCTCACCCCACCACACCTGACCACAACCCTCCGGGCGAATCCACGCCATATCACCGAGCGCAGCGAGGAGGAGAAGCAGATGGAGAAGCGGCGGAGGCGGCGAGCAGCAGCGCCCACGGCCAAGCTCTCGTTCCTGGACGACCTGCAAGACGAGGAGGAGGAGGACGAGGGCGAGGATGGGGAGAAGGAGAACGGGGGGGAGCAAGAGGCAAGAGGTAAGGAAGGGTTGTAAGAGGAGTGACTGTGGGTGGGGGAGTGTGGGATGAGCAGTGACAGGCGCCACATTGGATGTTGAATTCGTTCGGCTGAATGCGTTTTCTTGGAATTCTCAAAATTTAGCATTCCGCCAAATGGGGTTGATTCCTTCGCCGTTTTACATGCTAGTAGCAGCCTGCTGTTTCCTTACGCCAACACGCCGTCAGCCGTGAATCCCGATAGCAGCAGGTAGCGAAACGTGCGCTCCAAGAAGCGCGCACGTTTTGCTACCTGCTGCTAGCGGGATTCGCGGCTGAGGGCGTGTTGGCGTAAGGCACACGTTTATAAAAAACTAGCATTCTGTCCCGTTCCTCCCCTCTCCTCCTTTTCCTCACACCCGTCGCTCCTCCCCTCTCCCCGTTCTTTCCCTCCTCACTCCTCTCACCTCTCTCTCTCCTCTCCCCATACTTTCCCCTCCCCCACTCCTTTCCCCTGCCAACGTTCTTTCCCCTCTTCCACTCTCGGCCTTCTCCCCCTCTCCCCCTCTCGCCCTTATCGCCCCTCTCCCCATGCCTGGGCGGCAGCAGGGAACGGGGCGAGCAGGGGTGGCGGGGGGTCAGCAGCGGGGGAGGTGCGGAAGAAGGCGAGGATGAGCAAGTTCGGCAAGAACCCTTTCGTGGAGACCAGCTTTTTGCCCGACAGGTGCGGTGCGCGCAGAGGGGAAGGCGGAGGGGAGGGCAGTGAGGGGGGCGCGGTTGCGGAGCAGGAGGGTGGTTGCGGAGCAGGAGGGTGGTTGCGGAGCAGGAGGGTGGTTGCGGAGCAGGAGGGTGGTTGCGGAGCAGGAGGGTGGTTGCGGAGCAGGAGGGTGGTTGCCTAACAGGTTGTGACAGGAGGGCTCGGCGAGGACCCCTTGGTTGAGACCAGCTTCCTGCAGGAGGAGTGAGGGCAGATGGGATGGTAGAGGGGTGGGGAAGGCAGTTGTGGGGGCAGAGAGGGGGGGCAGTGGTGAGTGCAGGGGTGAGGGCAGTGGTAAGTGCAGGGGTGGGGGCAGGGGGGAGGGCAAAGGTGGGCTCTCAGATGTGCCTAGCACAGCTATGGTTACCCAAGGACAGGTGGTTACTGGACAGCTGATTTCTGAACAGCTGCTTGCTGGATAGGTCGGGGGCAACTGCAGTTTGTGTCGCTGCAAGGAACTCGTTCCTTTGTGCTGCCCTGCTTGCTGCGCAGACACGTGGTGGCCACTGGCCCAGCACGTGCACTTCCTCTAGCCCGCACGGGTGCAATGCCTCCTTGCCTACTGCGCCCACCTCCCTGCACGTGCGCATGCCCTTCTTCTAGCCTCACCCCCTACCCCACGCCCACCTCCCTTCTCCCCCCTGCCCCACTGACCCACCCTCCTCCCTGCGCCCACCACTTTCTCCTGTGACATGACATCCCCCTGTCCCTCCTCCCTCTCTCCCCGCTCCTCCTCTCCCACCCACCCCTCCTTGCTGTCACCCGGCCGGCCCCCCTTGTCGCTGCACAGGGACCGAGAGGCGCAGGAGACAGCAGAGAGGGAGCGACTGGCCAAGCAGTGGATGGCGGAGCAGGAGCGGATAAAGAGTGAGTCTATATAGGGGATGCAATCAGGTCTGTATCTGGGATACGGGTGAGCCTATACAGGGAGAGAGAGTTTGTGGTGTTTTTGGGATGTCTCATAAAGGTTAATAATAAGGTCAAGTATGTATAGGGATGACTAGTGTGCCAATGTGGTGGATAACCGGTGACTGTTTTACGCTGCTTTGTGCTAGACAGTGCGATTGCAGGGGGTTTCATTGCACTCCAAAGGTTTGGTTTGGAGATGTCTCAACCGCAGCAGGTGATCTTACCACAGGGCGAAGCTGCATTTCAGCATTCTCCCTCTGTTTCATCTCATCCCCATGCGTCCCCTTCCCCTTCCCATCCCCTTCCACCCCGTCGGCCAATCAGACGAGCCGTTGGAGATCACGTACAGTTTCTGGGATGGAGCGGGGCATAGGCGAGTCATTAAGGTGAGGAAAGGGCGCTGCATGCGGTTGGTTGTATGGTACCACATGCAGTTGCTATGCGTGGTCACCATGTGTGGTGCATGTGTGCCTCTTCAATGTGTACATATGATATTGCGCCATATGATATTGTGTGGCTTTCCAGATGTGATAGTCACATGTTTTCACACATGCCCCCTCCGTCCCTCCCCCCCTCCCTCCCCTCCTCCCCCTTTCCTCCCTTCCCTGTCCCACCCCACCTCTTTCCCCCGTCGCACAACTGTTCTCTCCCCCAGTTATCCCCCTCTCCCCCCTTGTCGGCTGTCCTTCCGCTTCCCCCCCCCTTCCCAGGTGCGCAAGGGCGACAGCATAGCGGACTTCCTGCGAGCCGTGCAGCAGCAGCTGGCGCCCGACTTCAGGGAGGTGCGGTCGGCATCGGTGGAGGGGCTCGTGTACATCAAGGAAGATCTCATCATCCCGCACGTGAGTGACGTCATCATCCCGCACGTGAGTGCAGGTAGCATGTGAGTGCAGGTAGCATGTGAGTGCAGGTAGCATGTGAGTGCAGGTAGCATGTGAGTGCAGGTAGCATGTGAGGGGCCAGGTTGGTTTGTGTGGATGATCGCCGCAATCAGGGAGGTGCTGTGGGCGGCGGTGGATTGGCTGGTTTACATCAGGGACTCATCATCCCGCATGTGAGTGACGTCCGTCCTGCATGGCTCACTCACAGCATACATGCACATGCAGTAGAATGACATGAGCACACAGAGGAGAGGAGGGCCTTGTGTATGACAAGGAGGATTTGTCCCTTCACTTTGTAGCAGTCCCCTGCGCTCCCACCTCCATGCACCTCCTCCCTCCTCTGCCCGCACCCTCCCCTCCCTTCCCCACAGCCCCCCAACACCAACGCACCTTTGACTAGCTCATTGTGAGCAAGGCTACCCTGTGCCCCCCTCTACCTCCTTCCTTGACCCCCCCTTCCCCCCCGTGCGCCCCTGGCAGCAATACACCTTCTACGAGCTTATTGTGAACAAGGCGCGCGGGAAGAGTGGTCCGGTAAGGCACGCACACACGTGCTTGGGGCGGGGGATTGGGATGCATGTGGGGAGGGAGGGATTGTATGCTACGATGGGGATAAGTACGGGGATGGGATGGGGATGGTATGGGTATGGGTATGGGTATGGGTATGGGTATGGGTATGGGTATGGGTATGGGTATGGATATGGGTATGGGTATGGGTATGGGTATGGGTATGGGATGAGCAGTGGGAGCAGGCAGTGCAGTGCTACCGCTGTCGTGCACAGGCAGGGTGGTGGTGCACAGGCAGGGTGGTGGTGCACAGGCAGGGTGGTGGTGCACAGGCAGGGTGGTGGTGCACAGGCAGGGTGGTGGTGCACAGGCAGGGTGGTGGTGCACAGGCAGGGTGGTGGTGCACAGGCAGGGTGGTGGTGCACAGGCAGGGTGGTGGTGCACAGGCAGGGTGGTGGTGCACAGGCAGGGTGGTGGTGCACAGGCAGGGTGGTGGTGCACAGGCAGGGTGGTGGTGCTCTGCACCTGCTACTCCGCTACCCTCTGCCTCTTGCACACCTCTCATGTTGTCGGCCCCTTATCGTCTTTCTGAACCCCTTGCTGTCTTTCTGAACCCCTTGCTGTCTTTCTGAACCCCTTGCTGTCTTTCTGAACCCCTTTCTGTATTTCTGGAGCTGTTGTCGCACACATCACTCATTTCTTCGTCGGTTTCTTTCTCTGTGTCCCTCTCTTGCCTCCGACCCACCTCCCCTTGCTGCAACAATACAACACGGGGGGGCACATGACGTGCAACCACGTGTGGCTGTGTGGGCACATGACGTGCAACCACGTGTGGCTGTGTGGCCACATGATGTGCAACCACGTGTGGCTGTGTGGCCTGGCAGCTGTTCCACTTCGACGTGCACGATGACATTCGCACCACGGGGGACGCCACCATTGAAAAGGACGAGGTGCGTTGAGAGGGAGGCGAGGGGATACCGGGGGAAAGGGGTGATGCTGAGATGCAAGGACGGCCAGGTGCGAGTGGGGGAGAAAGAAGGGGATGAGGTTCGGAAGGAGTTTATGAGTGTTCAGGAGTATTTTGGAATGAGAGTGAACTGTGAATGGTCATGGCACAGGTTTAATTTCCTGGCATCCCACATGTTTTGCCATCCTAGTTTACCGTGTGTTTGTTAGCTCCGCACATGGTGCATCCTCCCCTCGTCCCTCCGTTCTTCCCCGGTGGAGCATCAGCTACACAGGGGGAGATGCACTGGTGTGGCAGCAGCAACCACATGCCGTGCATCGCCACTCATCCTCCACCATCCCCTTCCCTCCGCTCCCCCTCCTTCCAGTCGCACGCGGGCAAGGTGGTGGAGAGGCATTGGTACGACATGAACAAGCACATCGATCCCTGGCCACTAATTGCCTCCATCCTTCCATTCTTCTCCCTCTCTCTCCTCCCTCCCTCCCTCGCCAGTCGCATGCGGGCAAGGTGGTGGAGAGGCACTGGTATGACAAGAACAAGCACATCTTCCCCGCCTCGCGATGGGAGGTCAGCTGTTCTGCACCTCCCTTTTGCCCCTCTCCAAGTTACTGTTTCTGCTGCTGCTCCTGCCGATTATCTCTGCCTGCTGCACCTCTTGCTAACTCTCTGTCTTGGTCCGTCCCCCTCCTTTGCCCAACTCAACTGCACATCTCGCCACCTCCCTCTTGCCGTCCTTCTCCCCTTTGTTTCTCGTCTTTCAGATATACGACCCGGCAAAGAAGTGGGACCGATACACCATCCACGGCAACTGACACTGTACAGTACACTGTTGGACTATTTGTGGCTTATAAGAACATCCTCGTCAGTACACTGTTGAACTATTTGTGGCTTATAAGAACATCCTTGTCAGCACACTGTTGAACTATTTGTGGCTTATAAGAACATCCTCGTCAGTACACTGTTGGACTATTTGTGGCTTGTAAGAACATCCTCGTCAGTACACTGTTGAACTTTTTCTGGCTTATAAGAACATCCTCGTCAGTACACTGTTGAACTATTTGTGGCTTATAAGAACATCCTTGTCAGCACACTGTTGAACTATTTGTGGCTTATACGAACATCCTTGTCAGTACTGTTGGAGTATTGAGCCACTTGTGCAAAAACATCACCCTCAGCACATTGTTAAACTATTAAGGCGCTGTAAAAACATCAGTACAGTGTTGGAAAACAATGTGCTTATGAAAACAACATCTTGAGTTCCGTGGTGGAAAATCCTCTGTGCCGCAGCCCTTGGCAATGCTGACAGGGCAGCACTGGTCTCGAGATGGCAGGTGTGCTCCCACCACGCAGCATGAGGCCGGTGGCAGGCAGAGCAGACAGAGAAGGCAGAGCAGAGTGTACAGTGCAACTTTGCCTCATGGAAGTTGCTGGGAAGCAAGGATGAGATGGTGTGGGGCGGGGCCACCACAGCGGCTCTGGCATGAGATGAGAGTGGTGACAATCTATAAAAGCGCTGGCTGCGACTCGAGTGTGGCGGCTATGACTTGAGGAAGAAAGCGGTGATGAACCGTGCCTTCCTATCCCGCACTGCTGCTGGCGCTGCTGCCTCTGCCCTCACCCGCTTCCTCGACCCCTCCACCCCTGCTGCACTCCCCCGCCCCCGTGCTGTGTCAGCACGAGCTGGACCGCTGCTGACGTGTCGAAGGCAGGATATGGACGAGCCAATGAACTCGCTGCGCAATGAGCATGGATGCAGCGTAAGGGCAGAATCACGAATGTAACGACCGAGGGAAGACATCAGAAACTGTGAGCACATGGACAGAAAAGCAAAGCAAGAACTTGCACACACATCTACATTAAAGAAGATGAACATGTGCTGGATTGGCCAACACCACTCACCCTCCCCTCGCCCTCCTCTCACCCTCCCCTCGCTCTCCTCTCTCTCTCTCCCCTCGCCCTGACCTGATCTTATCCGATGAGCGCACAACAGCTGCCACGTCAGCCTGGGTGATGGTCAGGCGCCGGGCGGAGCGAGTGCGGGAGAAGGCAGAAGCAGCGAGGCTCTCGAGGAAGAGGTGGGCGGCAGAGGCCACCAGCTGGGCGGCATCGGACGAAACTTGCCGCACCTCGCCATCCAGGCGCATCATGCGCTTCACATACGCAACTGGCATCTCTGCCGCTGCTACAGCTGCTTCCCCTGATGAAGGTAACTCTGGGGGTTCCTCTGCAGCTGTTACAGGCGCGTCCTTTGCTGAAGGCGCCATTCCCTGTGCGATGCGCGCGTGGTGTGGCGAGGGCATCCCTCCCGCAGCACCACCCTCTCGTGCTTCTTGTGTCTCCCCATCTGCACGCGCGCCTGCTGTCCCACGTGCTTCCGCTGCTACAGAAACCTTTCCTCTCTCCGTTCCGCCCTTCGCTCCTGCTGCCTCTGATTGCTCACCGCTTTCCTTCGCTTTCTGCTCCTCGCCCGTCACACGCCCACCTGTTTCCGCTTCTCTCTTCCCCTCTCCTGCTACCTCCGCCTCTTCACCTCCCGCCTCTCGCCTTCCCCCATCCGCCACTCCTCCGCCCGTCCGTGCAGTCACTCCGCGCGGCCTCTCATCGCCATCGCCACCTGTCCCCCCGTCCCTTTGACACCGAGCTTCTCCATCCCCCTCACGCGCGCCTACCCCCTCCCCCTCCCCCTCCTCCGCGCCCGCCTCCTTTCCTTCCTCCCCTTCCTCCTCCGAGTGAACGCTCATCTCATCGTCGTCAGCCACCCTACCGCGCTGTGCCTCATCCAGTTCCTCGCCTTCCTCCTCCTCATCATCCTCCTCCTCTTCTTGTTCCTCCGCCGCTGCTTCTTCCTCCTCCTCCTCCGCCGTACCTCCCCGTCTCTCCATCGGCTCCCCCCCATCCTCCACGGCGCCTCTTCCACCTTCTATGTCGCCTGCCTCTTCGCCAACGTCGTCCGCATCGCCAACGTCGTCTGCTGACAAATCCGAATCGCCGTCATCGCCGACGTCGTCGCTCGCGTCGTCGAGATGGTCATTATCGTCCAAATAGGCGTCCGCCATACTCTCATCTATCAAAGCCACGTTCTCAGTCATTCCGTCCACGTCAGCAGCTTCAGCGCGTTCCTCCATGCGAGTACGTGCATCCCCATCCGCCCATTCCTCTGGTTCCTGGCACGGCACGTCGTTAAGTGGTGTCGGGTCACCAGTCTCCATCTCAGAAAACGAGGAAAAATTATCGGGGCAGAACCACGATGATTCAGTGGTAAGCTCGTGTACTGGACGAAGGGACTTCACTTTTTGTGAGCTGAAGGCGTCACGCCATGAGGACCACTCGCGGTAAGCAAATAGATTAGGGAAAAGATCAACGAGGGGCCGAACAGTGCCAGAGGGGTGATCGACCAGGGGCCAAGAGGCCCGGAACTTCCCAAACCGCTGCGCATAGAGGGATTAACATAGGGTCTTCCTTTATTGCACGTAATTATGTTATTAGTGGCATGTACCGGCTCGCATTTTCGCTCGCGTGTCGTTTAGCGAGCCGACTCTAATGGAAACTCTTAGGGCAGCCAAAAAAAACTACAACTCTTAGGGAACCTGGATGCATTTTCGGGATGGGTCAACCCTAAAACGGATAACTTCCTGGTATTTAGGGTTGATGCCTCCCGAGTCGCATCTGTTTCCGAATGGGTAATATATTTTTTTCCAGTGCGTCTACGATCGGGTAGGTGATATTTATCACCCAGAATATAATATGTTATACGTACTCACGATTTGATCCGCCGAACTTTACTTCCAGAAGAAGGCGACGCGCGCGCTGTAGTAGACGGAGGTCAAAACCTTCAATAAAAAACATGAATACACAATTTGGTTCTTTTAGCAAATATCGTTTACTTCCGGTTCGGCTTGTTCGCCAAGTCGGTTGGGCAGCTCTGGGCTGAAATCTTACGGTCGAGATTTACCGGTCCTACTTTGAACACTCCTCTGGCAATGTTCGGCCCCTGGTTGATCTTTTCCCAATAGATTACAGAGTTTGCTTTTGAAATTCAAATCGCAGAAGGCAGCAGGTGGATGGGAGTGGATCAACGGATAGATAGTGAAGGAATCAAGAGCTGATGCTGGTGAAGGACTTGTTTACACATGCGAAGGTACATTTTCATATGGTTACTCTGTTGTAGCGTGTTGGACAAATACAGGGTCAACCGTACAGGCTCGTTACATTCTTGGATGCAGCTTGTGGTTTGAACTTTCTTCCAGGAGTGAATCCATGGGGTCGGGACAATTCGAGGTTCAGTTTGACAGGTTACCAGCCTGAAAGGCGCTGCACCGTATATCATCGACTTAAAAACCTCTGTAATTTGTTCCTCAAACTGCTGAACTTCCGTGGAACGGCTCCACACCACACAATCGAGACCACAACTTTAATTCCTCAAATTCACCAGCATCACCATCGGGATCATCTCCACCAATCGAAATCTCCAGCCAGTCAGCCGCACAAGTCCCTGCCACCATGCGATCACCCAATCGCACGCATCTCACCCGCCTCGTCTTGTTCCTCCTCCCGTCCAACTTCCAGACGTTTCCCAGCCATGATACACCCGACAGTGCAAGATATCGAGGCAATACCAAGGAGCAACTCAGCGTAATGCCCGCAAGCATTTGCAGCCAAAATCCGCCAGCCGACGACGCGTGTGGTTGACACGCTTCGGAATTGACTTTACGCGGTCCGTGCAGGTTCTTTAGTATTTCAGTATGGTTCGGGATTGCGAAGGCAATAGGGGTTGTAATCAGTCTACCGCGATGCAAGTTAGAAAGCCTGTTGATGCAGCAGGAAGGAACTCCGGCTGCGGGCAGTACAGTTGCCCCAGCGACCATTCTTAAGAACGACGTTCAGTGAAGCTGCTGGTTGTAGAGCCGTTAAACAACTCGTTACAGGACGGCTCGATACAAGACGTCGCAGATGGCGGAAGATGACGCGGGCAAGGAGACAGAGGTGGAGAGGCACTTAGCTGAGATGGCAGAGGCAGCAGAGCAGGGCGGAAGGCTGGACGTGGCGGACGGCCCACAGGCGGACGAGAGTTGCGCGCGCGGTTCTGATTTGCGCAGCTCGCAGCCGCACGATACAGAAGCGGCGGACACTGTAGACGCGCGCACTGCTGACGCGCGATGCTTAGAAGCACAGGACGCTGAAGCGAGCGATGCTGAGATGAACGCGAGGGATGGAGCGGACGTGGTAGCTGGGGACGAGCAGCGAGACGAGCAGCGAGCGTGCGACGAGAACGACACGGACGGAACGATCAGCCGTCGCACGCGCGCGCGAGTGTCGCTGGCGCAGACCCCGATAGAAGAGCTCGAGGTGATGCTCGCGCGGGTGGCGCGAGACGCGGAGGAGGATGAGGAAGAGGAGGAGTTTTTGTTTCATGCGGAGGAGGAAGAGGAGGAGTACGAGCGGTTCCTGTCCGCCGTGCTGTTCCCCGACTCGCCTTGCGCTAGTGACCACGAGGGGGAGGAGGGGGAGGGGGAAGGGGAGGGGGAGGGGGAGGGGGAAGGGGAGGGGGAGGGGGAGGGGGAAGGAGAGGAGGGGGAAGAGAGGGGGTATGAGGGAAGAAGGGAGGGTGGAGAGGAGGAGGTAGAAGAGGAGGGGGAAGGGGATGAGGAGAGGACTGGAGGAGCAGCAGGGGCAAGCATGGGAGGGGGGGATAACACAGGGGATGCTGTTCATGGAGGAGAGGAGAACGGGGTGCAGGATGAGGGGGGGGGGGGGGAGGGGAGGGAGCGGGGGAGGAAGAGGGGGATGACGAAGGGGAGGACAAAGGGGAGGGGGAGGATGAAGAGGACGAGGAGGATATGGACTTCAATATCGACGATCTGCTGCTGCTGGAGGGCGATGATCTGCTAATGGACGGTGAGGATGAGCTGCTGGATCTGCAGGACTTCGTTGTGGACGAGGATGATCTGGATGGAGGGCTTCTAGCGGGGCTGGAGGATGAGCTTATAGCGGAGATGCAGGCTCAGACGGATGCAGAGGCAGCTGCTGAGGCAGCCGCGAGGGCAGAGGAGGAGAAGGGCGAGGAGGAGGGGGGGAGCGAGGGAGAGGGGAAGGGGAGGAGTAAGAGGCGTAAATGCAGCCGTGGGGAGGGGAAGGGGGGCTATTGGGGGGCGTGGGGTGGAGAGATGGGGGGCTTGCAGGAGGGGGAGGGGAGGGAGGTAAGGGAGGGAGGGGAGGGAGAGGAGGCGGCGCATGAAGCAGCGGCAGACGGGCACGAGGGCGCTGCCTCTCGCCTCCACCAGCCGCCCTCCGCTGCTCCTGCTGTTCCTGAGAGTAACGCGCACGAGCCAGCCAATGAGCAGCTGCCACCTGTCCAGGGTGTGGGCGAGCGGGGAAAGGGAGGGGCGGTGGAAATGCACAGCGAGGGGGTGGGAGTGGGAGTGGGGGTGCGGAGGTCAAAACGGACCACTGCTGGGGTGTCGAGGAGGAGAGGCAAGGGGAGGGAGGCAGCGAGGAAGGGCAGGAATGGAGAGGGGGAGGAGGAGGGGGAGGTGGAGGCGGGAGGATCCAAGAGGAGACGGAAGGCTAAGAAGGGACGAGGCGAGGCAGTGAAAGGAGGGGGTGGGGTGATGGGGGATGGACGAGGGGCGAGGGAAGAGACGGCAGCATGCAGAGGTGGCCGCGACAGTTCAGAAGCAGGAGGCGGCAATGAGGGTGTGTCTCCCGCCGCTGCTGATCCACATGCCTTGGTTTCTTCTGCTCATGGCTCGGATGGTGCTGATGGTGCTGCGCATGGTGCATCGACCTTTTCACCCCCATCAGGCAGCCCTGGGGGGGTTAGTGGGGGGGCGGGCAGCGCAGGGCAGGGCAGGCGGAGGGGATCCGCGGCAGCAGCAGCAGCAGCAGCAGGGTCCAGGGCGGCGGGCAGGAAGGGCCGCGCAGGCAGAACTGCTGCTGGCGCTGCTGCTGGCGCTGCTGCTGCTGGTGGTGGTGTGGGGTCAGAGGGCGCTGCTACTACTGCCGCACACACTAGGAAAGCAGCTGCTGCTGTTGCTCCTGCTGCTCCTGCAGCTGTGACTGCGGCTGCTGCTGCTCCTGCTGCCTCACCAGTGCCCCCCCCTCGCCTACTCCCCATCGCCCCGCTCCCCACCGCGCGCCCGTTTGTACCACTCCCCCTGCCGGCACACGGCACATACCCCTTCCATATTCGCCCCGTTGCATGCCTCGCTCCTGTCCCCATCCCCCCCGCGTTCGCGCCACATCAGCGCGCCCAGCTGGCGGCGCTGCTGGCGTGTCACGTGCAGCTGGCAGTGCAGGTGTACGCGGCGTGTGTGCTGGACCCCTCTCGCTGCCAGGTGGCAACGGTGCTCAGGGGCTTGCTGGCTCAGCTGGCGCAGTGGGGGGGAGGTGCTACTGGGGAAGGTGGTATTGCTGGGGTAGGTGGCATTCGGTCAGGAGATGCGAGAGGAGTGTCGAACAATGTATTAGCTGCTGATGCTCCAGGGGTTGAGGCATCACCCTCGCCTCCCTTGCAGCCTTGGTGCTCTCCACCCATCCCTCCCGCTCCTCGCTCTTCTCTCTCATCTCCTGTGACCTGCCTGGAAGCTCATGGCTCTGCCGCTGCCATAGCTCCCACTGCTACCGCCACTGCTGCTGCTGCCACTGCCACTGCCACTGCCACTGCCACTGCCACTGCCACTGCCACTGCCACTGCTGCAAGCAGCCACGGAGCAGCAAGGCCAGCAGCGCGGCTGGCAGATTCGATCCCCAGCCTGGCTCTTCTTCCTTCGTTCCTGCTCGCCATCGACAAAGGTATCGAAACAAGGGCACACGGCTGTGGCCGGGAGCGTTAGTAGTGTGTGGAAGGCAGCTTGTGCTGTGCTTACTTTGCACTTTTGGTGCTCTCTGTGCCTGACCCTCGTGTCTGCCTCGTGTGCCTCTCCCTTGCAGTTCTCCAGGAGCAATCAGTGGACCCGCCGACGACATGTGCTGCTGCTGTGGCTGCTGATACGCATCCCCCTGCAGCAACAGCGGCAGCAGCAGCACCAGCAGAAGCACCACCAACACCAGCTGCACCAGTAGCACAGTCAACCTTATTATCAGCAAACAGAGTAACAACTGTCGAGGCACCAGAAGCGACAGCAGCAGCAGAAGCAGCAGCAGCAGAAAGAACACAGGTGGAGGAATCAGAAAGGGTGATGGCAGGCAGTGATGCTGCTATCCGATCTGCTCCAGCAGCACTCCGTGCCAGTCCACACGTACTTGCATCCGACAGACGAGGGAGTGAGGGGCGCAGGGCGTGTCGTGGGGGGCAAGTTGAAAGAAGCGGTGGTGAAGGAGGAGGGGATGGGGGAGAGGAGACACTCGGGGAAGGAGTTGTAGAGGAGCTGTTGAGGAGAGGGGGGAGTGGGGGTGACGTGGGAAATGGTAGGAATGGTGGAGCAGAGCCGATGGAAAGGAGTGAAGGACGGGGAAGAGGTGAGAGTGGTGGGAAAGAGTTGAAAGGGGTGGGGGAGGGGAGGGAGGTGGGGAAGGAGAGAGAGGTGCGGGAGTGGATGGAGGCACAGGGCATGTCAAACGAGAGGGTGGAGGGGGGAGATGGGGAGAGGACAGAAAGGGTGGAATTAGAGGATGGCGAGAGGGAGGTGCGGCGTCAGCGAGATGCAGTGGGTGGTGATAGTGATGGTGCTGTGCAGCGGCAGCGAGATGACAAGGGTAGTCGAGAGCTTCCCCTGAGAGACGTGGCCGATTTGCAGCAGGACGTGCAGACATCGCAGCAGCAGGAGCAGCAGCAGGAAGGGCAGGACGAGAAACAACAGAACGAGCAGACACGGCAGCAGCAGCAGCAGATACAGCAGCAGGAACAACATCAATGTTTGAAAGAGTGTCGTGTTGATGATCCTCATCAGCAACAGCAGCAACAGGAGCAACAGGAGCAACAGGAGCAACAGGAGCAGCAACAGCAGCAGCAGCAGCAGCAGCAGCAGCAGCAGCAGCAGCAGCAGCAGCAGCAGCGGGTGGGAGGGAGGAAGAGGAAGAGGAAGAGGAGGCGCAGGTGGGAGCCCATGTTCCCCGTGGCACTGCCTCCCGCCCTCCCACCCTTCGCCCCCTCCCGCCTTGCCTCTCCCCACAAGGCCCCTCGCTTGCAACCCTCCCAGAGCGTTGCTTGTGGGCGCGGAGTGGAGAAGGAGGGCGAGCAGGGGCGAGGAGGGCAGGACGAGAAGGAAGGGGAAGATGAAGGAGAGGAAGGCGGACGGGAGGAGGTGGAGGAAACGGCGGTGTGGAGGGAGGCAGAGGAGGAGGAGGGGCGGAGGGCGGGGGTGGGCGAGGTGGTGCGGGTGCCAGGCGAGGTGGCGGCAGCACTGCAGCCGCTGGCAGGCGTGTTTGATGCGTCGCTCTTCCCCGTGGTGCGCCCGCCCCTGCTGCACCGCACCATCTTCTCCCCCGCTGAGGACTGGTGCGTGGGTGGGTGGGTGCGTGGCAGGGTGGGTGCGTGGGTGGGTGGGGGCATGGACGCATGAATGTATACATATATGGCTGGATGTAGGTCTTTGAATGTGTGGGTTCAGTATGGGTGCTTCGTTGGGTTCATGTGGCACACCGCCATGTGCCTACAACAGGTGCATACATACATACATGGATACATCTGGCAAGCCATGGGGCTAGCGTCTCAGCAGCATCCAATCCTCCCTATGCCCGTCACACCCTCGCCTCCCGCCCATCCGGCGCCCTCCATACCAGCTTGCTGCCCATGGGCGTGGAGGAGCTAGGAACAGACTGGGAGGCCATTGCAGCAGCGACCATTCCTCCCCTCTGCCCCTCACTCTCTCCCCGCCCATCCCCGTGCCCCTCCGTGCCAGCCTGCTGGCGATGGGCGTGGAGCATCTGGGCACGGACTGGGAGGCCATTCACCGCCGCTTCCTGCCCGGCAAGACTCCGCACCAGGTGGGCCGTGGATCATGGGCCGTGGATCATGGGCCGTGGATCATGGGCCGTGGATCATGGGCCGTGGATCATGGGCCGTGGATCATGGGCCATGACGGCTGGGGGGGGGGCTGTGGGCCATTGCTTGTGAGCAGTGGGTGGTGGGCGGTGGGCGGTGGGTGGTGGGTGGTGGGTGGTGGGTCGTGTGACTCAAGAGTTCACCATACACAGACGCCACATTTTGACGAGCTGGTTCGGTGAGCCAGGGAGCCGTCAGAGTGGCGAGGTGAGGTGAGTGCATGCACAACGTACATGCCTGTCCATGCCCCTGCTCGTACCTCTGCTTCTGTATCCATTCCTTCTCACTCTCGCTCTCCCGTCCATACGCCTTGTTTCCTGCGCCTGCGGTGGCCCGTGTTGCCCCCCCTCCCCATCCAATCCTGGCTGTCAGATCTCCATCCGGTGGAAGAACCGGTGCTCCTCACGCGTGCCGGACAACCCCATTAAGGTGCGCATGCATGCACATACACATGCACATGCACATGCACATGCACATACACATGCACATACACATGCACACGCACACGCACACGCACATGCACACGCACATGCACACGCACATGCACACGCACATGCACACGCACATGCACACGCACATGCACACTCACATGCACACGCACATGCACACGCACACGCACACGCTCACGCACGCGCACGCGCACACGCTCACGCACACGCACACGCACATGCACACGCACATGCACACGCACACAGGGCTGAGAAGTGAATGCACATGCGTTTTGAGGTCCAGCGAGGTAGGCAGAGAGGCAGGCAGGGCAAGCAGCCAAGTTGCATCGTGCAGATGAAGAGTGTGGTAGATGGATCGTCGTGAAGGCGCCCACACAGCAGTCAGGCAGCTCGTTTGCGCCTGTGCCCATCTTTGTGCCTCGACTTGCATTCACGGTCCACCCATTCTCCAGCAAGCTCCCCTCCATCTGTGTCCATCTGTGTCCATCTGTGTCCATCTGTGTCCATCTGTGTCCATCTGTGTCCATCTGTGTCCATCTGTGTCCATCTGTGTCCATCTGTGTCCATCTGTGTCCGCTTCTGTGCTGTTCTGTGTGGCGTGTGCGCCCATCGTGCAGCAAGTGTGGCGGCGCAAGACTGCTCCCCTGACTGACCACGAGGTCGACCAAATACAAACGGTGTGTGGGCATAGTGCAACGTGACTCCATCATAACACCATCGTCACACCCCCATTGGTGTCACATGGAAACGGATGGATTGCCATGCCAGCATTGGCATGGGATGGGATGGGATGCCTCTCACATGCCCTCCATGCACACTCCATGCACCCTCCATGCACCCTCCATGCACATTCCATGCACCCTCCATGCACCCTCCATGCACCTCCATGCACCCACTCTTCTCCTCAAACTCTTGTCGGAGAAACCTGGCTGTGATGCCCCCCTGCCTCTCTTTCCACCTCTCATGCCTCTTGCGTTTATCCCCATGCCCATCCACCCCATCCCCATTCCTCATATCCCCCCCATCTCCATCCCCCCCATTCCCATGCACCCCATGCACCATACCGATCCCATGCACCCCATTCGCCCAGGCACTGAACGCATGGAAGCTGGACTGGCACGCCATGAGCCGCGCTGTGATGCCCCACCGCGACCCCACACAGCTGCGCCGCCTCTTCTCCGATGCTCTTGCTGCCCGCCGCCTCGCGCTTAGGCAGCAGCAACGAGAGCAGGAGGAGCAAATGCAGAGAGAAGAGCAGATGGAGAGAGAAAGGGAGTGGATGGAGAGTCAACAGTTGCTGCAGAGAGAGCGAGAATTGCAGAGAGAGCAAGAATTGCAGAGAGAGCGAGAATTGCAGAGAGAGCAAGCAGTGCAAAGAGAGCAAGAGGAGCAAAGAGAGCAAGACAGGCAGAGAGAACAAGAAGTGCAAAGAGAGCATGAGTTGCAGGAGGAACAGAGGCGGGTGAATGAGGAGATTAGGGAGGAGGAGCAGAGGCAACTGGAGGGGGTTGGTCGGTTCTCAGGTGAAGGGCATGGAGGTGACGAGAGAGGGGGCGAGAAGGGCGAGGGGGTGGCGAGTATGGGGAGGAGCAGAGGGCAGGAGCATGAGGAAGCAGGAGGAGAGCAGAATGCAGGCAAATGGTGTGAGGAGGTTCATGCCAGGGAGCAGGCAGCATGGCAGCATGGCCCACGTGGCGACACAAGAGCTGACGTGGCGGTCAGTGGTGCCACGTCAGCTGTCATCATACCAAATACTACCACCACACCAGATGATCCCACACCAGATGAAATCGCAGCACACAGGAACAGAAGCAGCAGCATAGGTGGCGGCACAGGTGGCGGCACAGGTGGCAGCACAGGTGGCAGCAGAAAAGGCGCTGCAGCATGCCACGTGGCATTCCAACAGCTCTTTCCCAACCGCCTGCATCTGCTGCAGCCGGCCTTGCAGTCGCGCCCTCCCCAGGTGCCACCTGCCCGCCCTGACACTGTAGCGAATGTGGGATCGGTGCTGAGTCAGCCGCACCTGATGCTGACGCAGCGAGCTTCAGAAGGAGGGAGGATGGAAGGGCCAAGACCGGCCAATGGGGAGGTGGCATCCGGGGAAAGTGTATGTGGTGGGGAAGAGGAGAGGGAAAGAGAGGTGAGTGGAGAAGAGGTGAGCGGAAGAGGAGCATCTGTGGCGGAGGGTGAGAAAGGGGCTATAGGAGGGGCTAGCATGCTTCTGAGATGGTCCCTGCTGCAACCGACAGTGCCACAGCCAGCAGTGGTACAAGCAAGGCCCTTGCAGCCAATCTCTGAGGGTGCAGGAAGAGAGGGGCAGAGAGAAGAGGAGGCGGTGCAGGAGGAGCAAGGAGGGGCTGAGAACGAGGTGGAAGCAGACGCGGGAGGAGGGGAGCCACAGCAGCAGCTAATGCAGCAGCAGCAGCAGCAGCAGCAGCATTCACAGCAGCAGCAGCCGTTTGTTCAGTTTCGCGAGCTGCTGCTGCGGGAAGTTGTGATGGGGACGAGTGGGGCTGGGCTCATGGAGCCTGCTGTGACTCTGTCCAATGTGACTGTAGCCAATGTGACTGTAGCCAAGGTGACTGCATTGCCCGAGGCAGCAGCACCCGTGGGAGGAGGGAGGGCAGCAAGAGACAGTGTAATAGGGGAAGAGGAAGCGTGTGCTGCTACAGCTGAGTACAGCAGCGTAACAGCAGAGGGAGCAGAGACAGCAGAAGGAGCAGAGGCAGCAGAGGCATCAGAGGCAGCAGAGGCATCAGAGGCATCAGAGGCAGCAGAGGCATCAGAGGCATCAGAGGCATCAGAGGCATCAGAGGCATCAGAGGGAGCAGAGGGACGGTTGGAGGTGGCAAGAGCAGTGAGAGAGGAACCAGCAACAGCAGCACGTTTTGAAACAACAGCAGCGGCACAAGCAACAGAAGCAGAAGGAGCAGCAGAGGTAGCAGCAGCAGTAGCAGAAGCAACAGCAGCTGAAGCAGGAGCAGCAGGAGCAGCACAAGCAACAGCAGCAGCAGCAAAGGCAGCAGCAGCATCGGTGGCAGCAGCAGCCCCAGTGGGTGGAGGCATTGACCACCACCACCACCATCACCACCACCCTTCTGCTGTTGACCTGCTAGCTGCTGCTGCTGCCGCCGCTGCTGAGTCAGATGCACTGTGTGCTGAGTCGGATGCCTTGCGTGCTGAGTCAGATGCCTCGCGTGCTGAGTCAGAGACAGTTTGTCTTGTTGATAGCGAAGTTTTGTCCACACAACCACGTGTTGGTGGTGGTGCTGCCAGTGCTGCTGCTGGTTGTGCTGATAATAGTTGTGCTGCTGGTAACCATGTTGACAGCAGTAAGCATTTAGATGATAGGGGTGGTGGGTGTGAGGGTGAGGGCACGGGGCAGGGGGCACAGGGAGGCCGGTCAGCACATGCCGCCTCTTGTCACGCTCACGCTGCTGCTCATCATGATACTGGGGCTTCTCCTTGTGCTGTTGCTGCTGTTTCTGGTGCTGCTGACAGTGATGCTGATGCAGATGCTGATGATGCTGCTGATAATAATGATGCTGCTGCTGCTGCTGCTGCTACCAGTATTGCTGCTTCTGTTGCTACTGCTGCTGCTGGTGCTGATGCTGATGCTACTGTTGATGCTTCTGCAATCACTGCTAATGCGAAAGCTTATTCCAATGCTCCTGAAGCTGGCACAGGTGCTGCTAATGCTGCTTCTGCTGATGCAGCAGCGGGTGCAGCGGGGTCGACCGCCCATCAGGCATGCCTCTCTCCCATTGCCCACCGCCCTCCATCACTTCCCTCCCGTGCTTCCCTCTCACCATCGCCTACATCACCTCTTTCCTCCTGCCCCTGCCCACCATCCCCTCCCTCCTCTGCGTCTTCTCTGCCCTCCCATCCCGCTCCATCCCCACCACACTCTCCTCCTCCACCTCAACCTCCCTCACCTCCCCCTCCCTTACCTCCCCCTCCCTCACCTCCCCCTCCCTTACCTCCCCCTCCCTCACCTCTCCCTCCCACTCCTCCCGCATCTGCCTCAGACGATCCGCCCCCCACCATCTTCATCCGGGCAGCCTTTCTCTCCTCGCAACCTCTCTCGTCACAGCCCCTCCCTGCTCAACTCCCTCCCCCTTCCACCTCACCACCACCACTACCATCACCTCCTCTTCTTCCTGTTCTCCTCTCTCCTACCAACTCAAATCCACCTCCCCCAGGTGAACCTTCCACTCGCCCATCGCAGTCAGCCCCTCCCTCAGATGCACCTCTTCTGGCTGGTCCTGGCCTTCCTCCCTCTGCACTGCTCGCAGCCCTCTCTCTCCCGCTTTCTACCACCTCTGTCCCTGCACAGCCAATGCCCGCCCTGCCCACAGCTGCAGCAATGGACGTGCCTGCAGCAGCACTAGCGCCACCACCACTACTACTGCCAGTGGCAGCAACTGTGGCATCAGCAGCAGCAGCAGCAGCACCACCACCACCACCAGCGTCAGCAGCAGTGCCATCAGCAGCAGCAGCAGCAGCAGCAGCAGCAGCAGCAGCAGCAGCAGTGGTTCGTGCTGGGCCTGTGGCCCGCACACCAGTGATTCGTGAGGGGGAAAGAGCTCGTGTATCTCCCCCTGCTGCTGCAGCAGCAGCGGACAGCAGATCAGCGGACAGCAGATCAGCGGACAGCAGATCAGCGGGCAACAGAACCGGAGGGGTGACGGTTCAGGCACACGAGAAGCGGGCAGCGAGCAGAGGAGCAAGAGGTCAGCCGACGGGCAGTGGAGGAGGTGGGGGGCATACACCACCCCCGCTGCCAGCAGCTGCTGCAGACACATGCGGAGCAGCAGAAGCCGCTTCAGGTTCTTCTGAAGCACCTGAAAGGCCACCAGCAGCGGCAGCAGGAACAGCAGAAGCAGCAGCAGCAGCAGTAACAGTAGCAGCAGCAACAACAGCAGGCGTCGCAGCAAAAGCAGCAGCAGGAGGGGGGTGTAGAGCAAGCAGCGAAGCCCCAGGTGTAGCTGTGCCAGCGCCCACTGCGGCACCTGCTGCCTTCCCACTGGATGCAGCGGCAACGAGGGAGGCTGTGAGTGCATGTGGAGGTGCATCCAAGGCAGGTGATGCGCTCACAAGGACCTGTGCTGCTCACAGCACAGGTGGGGAAGGAAGGGCAGGGCTATTAGACGCGGGTGAGTGGGCAGATGCGTTGCAGCACAGCACAGGCCCCTCCACGGCACCTGCTGTCACCATCCCTGCTCCTGCTGCTGCTGCTGCTCCTCCTCCTCCTGCTGCTGCTCCTGCTGCTGCTCCTGCTGCTTCTCCTGCTGCTGCTCCTACTGCTGCTCCTTCTGCTGCTCCTGCTGCTGCTGCCCCTTCTGCTGCTGTTGCTGCTGCTGCTGCTCCTCCTCCTCCTGCTGCTGCTCCTGCTGCTTCTCCTGCTGCTGCTCCTTCTGCTGCTCCTGCTGCTGCTGTCCCTTCAGCTGCTGTTGCTGCTGCTGCTGCTCCTTCTGCTGCTTCTTCTGCTGCTCCTGCTGCTCCTCCTGCTGCTGCTCCTGTTGCTCCTCCTTCTGCTGCTCCTGCCCCTGCTGCTCCCCCCGCCTCTGTCCGTCCTGCTCCTCCTCCTGCTGCTCTTCCTGCTCCCCCTCCTTCTGCTGCACCTCCTGCTCACCCTCCCTCTGCTGCTCCTCCCCCTACCTCTGCCCCGCCTCCTCCTGCACCTGCTGCTGCCAGCACGGACCCCCTCGCCTTCCTCCCCATCCCTCCTCTCCCCCGCTTCCGCAACTTCCCCCCTCTTCCTCTCCCCCTCCGGTCACAATCCCCCACTGCAACCAGGCCCTTCCAACCTCTCACCTACTCTCACTCCCCTCACTCCACCATTCCCCCATCTGCATCTTCTCACTCCCCCTTACGTCCCACCCCTTCCTTCCCCACGCACCCCCATCCTACACTCCCCCTGCCCCGGTCTGCCTTCCATACCCCATCCAAACCCGCCCTTCCCACCGCCTTCCTCCCAACCACCCCTTTCTCTTTCCCTCACTCCACGCCTTCTCTCTCCCCATCCACTGCCCCTCGCTCCACTCCACCCCTCAAACCCACACCCTGGCCCAGACCCCACTTGCCATCCCCACCACAACCAGCACAACCATCACAGCCATCACAACCATCACAATCACCACAACAACCCTTGCAACCTCCTTCCAGTGCGCCCCCTTCATTCATGCCCCTGCCTCTGCCTGCCACCACTACCTCTCCCTCTCCTCACCCCTCACCTGCTGCTCTGCCCTCACCTGCTCCTCACTCCTCTTCCTCCCCTGCCGCTGCAACTGCTGCAGCCCCAGCTACTGCTACTGCTGACCCTGCTGCTGCCACAGCTTCTCCAGCTGCTGCTGATTCCGCAGCGCCTCCCTTCCCGCGTCGCAGGAGGCGCAGGCGGAGGGGCGTTTTTGGGTTGCCGCCCACCCGGGGCCTGGGGGGGATGGGAGGAGGAGCAGGTGCGATGGGAGAAGGAGGGGGAGGGCGCGCAGGGGGGGCGGGAGGAGGGGCAGGGAAGCCATCAAGGAGCCTGGCGCCGGTGATGCTGCCTGATGGCCGCATCATTCAGCTCTGCCCCTCGCAATCCCCCTCGCAATCCCCCTCGCAATCTCCCTCGCTTTCCAACTCGCCCTCCCTCTCACCCTCCCCTGCCACCGCTGCTGCTGCCGATGCTACCCCTGCTGCCCCCTCCTTTATGCCGTACTCTGCGTTCTTTCACCTCTCCCCCTCGCCCTCTACCATGCCTGCTGCCATGCCTGCTGCTATGCCTGCTCCCATGCCTGCTGCCATGCCTGCTGCTGTTAATACTACCACCATTCCTGCTGCTGCCAATACTACCACTGTTCCTGCTGCTGCTCCTCCCACTCCCGCCAGTATTACAGCCACTGCCACCACTCCTGCCCCTCATCCCACTGCTCCTCACCACACCAACGCTTCTCCTGCTACCCCATGCCCCGCGTTGCATAAGGGTGCTGCGTTGGGGAATGCTGTAGCAGGGAGCGTTGTAGCAGGGAGCGTTGTAGCAGGGAGCGTTGTAGCAGGGAGCGTTGTAGCAGGGAGCGGTGTAGCAGGGAGCGGTGTAGCAGGGGGTGCTATAGGTGCGCCATCTGTTGCAGCACTAGTCAAACCTTTGAATGGGACTGTAGCCAGGTCAGCACCTTTAGCCAGGTCAGCACCAGTAGCCAATGGAACGAAATCAGCCAGCAGAGCAGCTGGAGCACAAGAGAGCAGGATGACATCTGTGGCACAGAGAGTGAAACAACCTCTTGTGCCACGTGGCAGCAGCAGTAGTATCAATGCTGATGTGGCGACACGTGGCAGCAGCAGGACCTGCAGTGCTGATGTGCCTACCCCACTTGCTCCTCCCCCTGCTGCTCCTCCCACTGATTCCTTTGCTGCTGCCCCTGCTAGTGCTGTCGTCTCTGCTGCTACTACTGCCACTGCCCTGCCTGCTACGGCTGCTGCTGCGCATGCACCTGCCCCCATGCGCCCTCCACCCTCTCCATCTCACCCCGCACCTCCTCCCTCAAACCCCTTTACTCCCAATTCTGCATTCCTTCAATCCCAGCCGCTGGATCGCCAAGCCTCCAGTGCCCCATCCTCCAAAGCGCATCCAGGTGCCACAGCCCTCTCTACCTCCTCCTCACGCACTCAACCAATGCCACAGCTGAGCTACAGCCTCACCCACAGTCCAAACCAACGCTCTTGGCTTGGTTTGTCCAAGGCAGGCAGCGGCGGAGGCTCGGCACAGGTGGTTCGGCCTCGCCCCATGCTGCCTGTGCCTGGCCAGCCCGCTAACTCTACTCCCAATGACACCCTTCCCTCTGGCTCCGCCCCCACCGACCCCATTCACCACCGTCCATCCATCCGAGCCGCCTTCCTTGCTGGCCGGCCTCCCGCCATGTCCCCTGTTCCCTCGGCATCGACTCCTGCTGCTGCGCCTGCATCTGCTGCTCCTGCCTCTGCTGCTGCTACTACAGCCAGCACGGAACGTGCAACGAGATCGCATGTTGCAGCACCGGCTGCCTCAGCCAAGGGAGCCTTACTTGGCGCTGTACAGCAAGGGAAGATGGGCATGAGAGGCGCTTTCACAGCCGCTCCAGCTGGGGAATCAGAGCAACGAGAGTCAAGGAGATGGGTCCCTGGGAGCACGGGTAGCAACAACCACATGTCCTGCTCGGGCTCTGCGGAGGATCCACCAGTGCCCTCGTCGCTTTCACTCTCGCTGTCCCTCTCCCCGCCTTGCCCCCGTTCTGCCCAACCTCCGCGTGCTGTCGTGCCCTCCACAATCCAATAAGGCATGCTCCACCTGGGACAACTTCTGTGAAACAGATGGCTATGTTGCTATGCAATGCATGACAGATGGCCAAGTCGGTGTATCCATCCTGGTTTATGTATTGGGTATTTGTCAATCGCTGCATTTTATTCATTCGCCAAGCAGAAATGGGCATACGAGCCTATGATAAGTTGCCGGAGCATCTACATCATACGGAGAAATATATATCAGAAGCGCCTATTATTCCGCGAGCCATGGTGCCAGATATAAGCGATGTTGACCGCAACTAAGTTGCGACCGTCACTTGGAACGAATTTCTCTACAGGATCTATTTGTTCGTTCTTCAACATTCAAAGGCGCTTTATTCGTGGACCGCTATAAGCGCGTCCGGGAGTAGCTAGAAGTTGGTGCTGCTCTTGTATGTGTTCCCAACGGTCCACTTCTCGGGAATGACGTCCTTCAGCTCCACGCGCGCGCCGCCCACCGCCGTGACGCGCACACTCACCTTCTTCCCCGCATCCACGATCTCCTTCGCGGGATCCAAGGCCCACGTGGCGCTCTCCGCGAGCCGCTTCATCTTGCTCCACTTCTTGCCGTCCTTCGATAGCTCCACTCCCTCCACGCCGCCGGCTTTCGCGGCGCCCAGAATCTGGACCGCGAACCAGTATTGGTTCGTCCCAGACATGATCTTCACTCCGATGTCGCCGTTCTTCGGGCAGTCGACGCTGCGGAACTTAATCTCCACGTTCCCCGCGTCGCGGCCGCGGACGATTTTGTCCCACGCGGTGGAGGCGAGGAGGAATTGGTCGTCTCCGTGCCGGCCGGTCGCGCGCACGATCACGCTGCCGCTTCGGCAGCTCTTGTGGCTCTTGCACTCGATCTCGTAGCACGTGCCGCAGCCCTTGCCGCCGTCGTACTTATTTTGGGGCAGGTACGCGGTCAGCCCCTTGTAGAAATATTCCGACTCGCGGAAGTTGCCCTCGTAGTTGCACGCGCCGCCGCCGGAGTTAATCCCGTCGCTGAACGTGGAGCGGTACGTGGTGGCGCTAGCGGGAGCAAGGGCGGCGAGCGCTGCGACGAGCGTCGCGAGGGCTGCGAAAACGCGAAGAGCCATTTGAAGCGCGAGGAGATTGCTCAGGGTGGAACTTGGTTGCGAGCAGGCAGTACTGGTAAGACTGAAGTGAGCAGGCAGGAGGGTGTACGAATCTCAGCAAGCGAATTCGGTGCTTTGAGTGTGTGAGATGGTGTGAATGAAGGAATTTCGGATTTTTATACACGCCATACTAGTAACGCGCGATGCGGCGGGGAGCAGCGGCGGCTTCAGCTCGACGTCCACAATTATCGAGGCGCCGGGGGGCAAGCAATAGATTGTTCCAGGAAATTGCGTGTTACCTATGCGGAGAGGTTATTGGAGGCTGCAGAGCAGCATGTGTGCTGCTCATGACGGCGCGCGGTCCCAACCCAAGCACAACTCAGGGAGGATTAGTTTATTTGTCAAGCAGGGGGACGGCCGTGTGATGCGCTTCTCATGCCGCGATAATTATTGGAAGCTGCGAAGCACATCCGTACGGCTGTCGACGGCGGAAGATGCGGTCCCAACCACAGCTCAGCAACAGCTGCAATGCTCTGCAGGGAGACATCCGTTTGCCGATACAAGCCCTCGTATCAACACCACTCCCTGACGGAAGACATACCGTATACAAGCTAGTGTATTCCCCTTCTTCCAACAGGCGCGGTAAGAAGCAGAACCTCATCTCCCTTACCGATTGAAGTGTTTTGGGGAGAGAAATCAACAATAATTAGCAGCAACAACACATGAATGAAAAACAGATGCCATAGCATCTCAGCGGCTATACGTGGTTGTAGAGTGAATCCCACCCCATAACCCAGACAGGGACAGAGTAAACCAAGACGCCGATAAGAAACGACGGCAAAATGGTACTGAGAAGGTACACATACGAGCGCCACGGAGACCCAAGGGTATAGTGGAAGTAGAAAATCTCGAGGGAGAACATAGATACTGTGCTGAGCCCTGTGAGGAACCCCAGCTGCACTCCTCCCACAATCACTTGCGAAGTATGTGACTTGGCCTGCAAGTGTGACATGACATAAATGAGTGTGAAGATAACGCGGAGGTCTGACACCACGTGGACCAAGTGTACCAATCCAGATCGCAGTGCAGGGTTCAAATCAAGAGAAGCAAGCATGGTAGGTACATACCGCGACATACACCACTGAAATTGCAGCTTCCAAAGCAGCAGCCCCCACGTTAACTGTAAGAGTCCCCCACGGCATCCATGCAGCTGCACCCGCACCCTCCTCCCACTTCCTCTTCCCTCCAACCCCACTGCGAGCCGCTTCACTCGCTCCCTTCCCCCTCCCAGTGGCCCCGTGGAACCACAGCCCGAGGCCAGCCCCGTTGAGGGGCAGCAGGGACCAGCGCAGGCACGTGCCCAGGGGGGCGAGCGCGCAGGCCAGGCAGAAGGCCTGCAGGCTGGCGCTGTGTGCGGCGGCGAGCACGGCGCCGGTGATGGCCGCCGCCCAGAGGACAAGCGCACACAGCAGCATGGGGATGAGGTGGCGGCGAGCGGGTGATGGTGGGGAGAGAGTGGGGGAGGGGGGGTGCGAGGGGGAGGGGGGATGTGAGGGCGAAGGGGGGTTTGGAGAAGAGGAGGGAGGGAGTGTGGGAGTGGTGGTTGGAAGGAGAGAAGGGGAGGGGGTGGAGTGTGGGGAAGGGGTGCGGTGGGAGAGGTAGGAGTGGAGAGAGCGGAGGTTGTGGGCGGTGTCTGCCCCCACGACAAGGGAGATGATGGGCAGCACCGAACCTGGTGGATGGAAGCAGCAGCACGGGAACAACGGAGGGGGAGGGAGGTGGAATTTATCGGCTTTACAAACCGGTTGTTTCTTCTGCGGCTGAGGTAGGTTGCTTCACGCGAGGAAGTGACGATGTGCCGGCGCGAGTAAAGGCATGAAGTAGCTGTCTCTCACGCAAACCAAAGCAGCTTAACATTCGTGTGCCACTTTGTGCGGCGCCTAGTGATTGTGCGCGTGGCGGCACTCACACTGACTCACCATGTTGGCGGGCAGGTCGATGAATATGGCCTGCTCGTCGCTCGTCACGTGCGCCACCTCCGGCCCAAACAGCAGGTCCATGCCTTGCTGGATGGCAATCTGAGGGGGAGTAGAAGGAGCGTGGCGAGGCGACACTTATGAGAGTTTGTTTAAGCCACGTGCGCCGCCTCCACACCAAACAGTAGGCCCATGCCGTGCTTGGTTGCAATCTGTGGGAGAGGGAGGAGGGTCGGGGAGGAGGGTCGGGGAGGAAGGAAGGAAGATGGGGGAGGGAGGAGAAAGGGATGGTTGGGAGGCTGAGCTGAGGCAAGAACGTGGGTGCAATGGACGCGTGTTTATAAAATGCCAAACAAGACGTGAATCGCACGAGGCGCCAAGTCATCCCTGTCTTCATTTCAGCCTACCTCTGCCATGCAGAAACGAGGATGGATGAGCGCGCCACAGCGCGTCATGCGACTCATGACAGACTGCGCAGCGAGCGCTGTCCTACCGCGCAACACACTGCTGGTTACATGCCCCACATGCGCCATTCGCTCGCCCCCGCGGCGCTACCAATGCGTCATCCACTCACCCCGAGGATGGAGAAAGTGGCCAGATGCGGCACGATGCTCACTCGATCCAAAGCCTCTTCCGCCCATCCCGCCAACCTGCTGCTGCTGCCGCCGTGCCTCGTGCTGCTGCTGCCACTGCTGCAGTCACACCCCCTACAACGACGGCTGGTGCGAGCAGCGCAGGTGTGCGCGTGGCGCGAGCAGCAGGAGCAGATCAGCTCTCGCACGAACGCGCGATGGCTGATGTAGCTGTACGTCGTGACTGAGAGCTGGATGGGGGGAAGGAGGGAAAGGGGGAAGGGGAGGGGGAACGAGAAAGGGAAAGGTAGAAAGAGGAAGAGGATCGCGCGTTGGCTGATGCAGCAGGAGGCGGTGAAAGCTTGAGGGCGTGGATGGAAGATGCGACGGCGGAGGAGGGAGGTGGGGTGGAACGAGAACGAATGGCGAACGCATGACGCAACTTCGCATCGCACGAGAGGGAGGGAGAGGAAACGAGGGACGACGCGGCCATGCGCTTTCGCAAAAACCCTGAGAGTTGGTGAACGCACCTCGGCAATGGACGTTCGAGGAAGCTTCGCCACGGGCGGCTTCGGCTCCGCGGCAACCGATGCGTCGTGCGAAGGTGGCTCGATAGCGACGCCCACACAGCACCCATCGATCTCCGCGGCGTTCCTCGGCGGATCATCCAACGGCTGCGGTCGCGCGCACGGTGAATCCGCACCCGCGGACGCGGCAACAGTGGGGAGCCGCGCGCTTCGAGGCGAGTCAGAACTGCCTGATGCTCTGTCTGCTCCTGCACCCACCGCGTCTCGCGGCGTCTCGCAATCTGATGAAACCGCGGGTTCGAAATCCGGCGTCCGAGCGTGAGACGATTCGCGGTCTCTCGCGCCGCCGTCTGGTGGGCCGCCGACGGCGCCATCATGCCTCTCGACATCCCGTGCGGCCACGACGCGCATGACGGGAATGCAGCCGCAAGTGGCGGCGTCTGAATCCGCGCGGCCCAACAAGCTCTGCCCATCGTCGTGTTCTCTCAGCTCGTCCGCCCCATCGCTCCTCTGTCGGTCCACCATTGGAAACCCCAAGCAGTCACGCGGCGTACAGTCACAAGCTAGTACCCTTGGCGTGCTCGAGGCGTGCTCGAGGCGTGCTCGAGGCGTGCTCGAGGCGTGCTCGAGGCGTGATTTGCTGGCAGGTCATTCAATGCGGCGTCGCAGCGCGAGTCGCAGCGAAAGTGGACGGTTTCAAGGACCAAAAATGTCGTGGAAAGGCGGCTGAAGAGATGCAAATATAGGTAAGCTACACACGACGAAAGCGAGAGACGCGTGCTCTGGAGCGGAGCGGGAGGATAGTATCGATACGATAGTGCGCATTGGGTTCTTTATTATGACGCGGTGTCGGAAAGCTGCGTTACCGGAAAGCCAGTGACGAAAAGCAGGGTGTATAAGGGATCCTGCAGTGACCGAGAAATCGTCAAGGTCGCAGTTGGAAGGGTTGCTTGACTGGAAGTAGCGCGGTTTTCAGAAACAAACATGGAGCAGGACCAGGCAGAAACAAAGGTAGCAGCTGGTGCAGGGTTTGGTGTGCTCGAATAGAAAATCAGTTGCGTGAATTCCGAGTGATAAAACCCGACACTGTCGAATTTTTCATAATTTTGTTGCCCGAATAAGTTATCTTCACAAATTTTTGTCAGGAAATTAGATGCAATGCTGCATGGTCTTTTTGTTTGAGGATTGAATTTTAGTTTTGGTGGGATGGAAAAGTTGCCCGAGGAGTAGCCGAAGACGCACCTGGACAGGTGTAGGGAAGGGAGAATGTGGGGATGTCTCTGCATGCGGATGTCAGTTTTGTTCGTGCGGACGAAATGCTGGGCTGGGGGAAGGCTTGGCTGGTGGCCGTTTGGGTTTGTGCAGGTGGAGGTGAAGCATGAGCTTCATCCCACGCCTCGTACGCGTTGCATGGAATTAGGGTTTGCACTTACTATGCGAACTTCGTAGGGAGTGTGCACTTTGTCGCTATATATTATTCCGGTATTCAATATACTGGCGGCGTTCGCCAGCGCAATTAACAGCAAAAACGACGGGATCAGGAAGGTCAGTCACGCCTTCCTGATCCCGTCAGTTAGGGTTCATTAAGGTCCGTCAGCATGGTCAGTCCGTAAAAATCCTGCCGAACCTACGATGTCGTCCGACCCAGGGAATCTCGAGGGCATGTCGAACGTCCACAATTCCCCACATTTCTGATAGTTTCATGGCATTTGGAAATGGGGAAGCAATTGTTAACGGGAGTGGAGTGTTGGCCCCGCCCTCACTTGGGCAAAGCCGACGACTTGGTCGGATGTACAGGAGTAGCAGCCGACCGTTCACAGTGGGAGAGCTGCTCGACAGGCTTCGTCGAGCTACATGGGACCGTTGTGGTGTTGCTGTCGACCAGGGAGCTCGACAGCTACAACTCACTGGTCTGGGCGACGACTGGGCCGTCGACCAGGAGGGACAATTCGACCGGGAGGTCGACGGAGCAGTCAGTCGACCTGCAGTTCGACTGGGGGGTCGACGGAGCAGTACGTCGACCTGACAAGTGAGCAGCGGTCGACGAGGGGAGCTCGGCGACAACCGCTGACAGTTCCGGTCGACGGAAAGGGTCCGTCGTCCAGGGGGTAGCTCGACAGGAGCTGTGGTCGACTAGAGGCACCTGGTGGTCGACCCGAGGCAGTGGTGGTCGACCAGAGGCAGTGGTGGTCGACTAGAGGCAGTGGTGGTCGACCGGAAGCACCTGGTGATCGACTAGGTCGACCGGGTAACCTGCTCGACGAGTTCTGCGGAGGCACGCGAACGTCGTCGAGGTTGTGATGGCGAAGGCGACTGCGGGCTGGTATCCCGAAGTCGATGTGGCTCGTCAGGCGCACACAACAGCCGACGGATACCCAACGAGGCAAGTCGGGCCAATCGTTTGCGCGCACCTGCGAGCGTGCGCACTGCTGTGTTCTACGGGGCAACGCTGGACAGCCGCTCTGCTGCAGCGTTGGCACGCCGTCGACCTGCTCTGTTGGCAGGTCGCCTTTCCGCAGTGCTGGCGCAGCTCCTATACGCAACGCTGACAGGCGGTCGACCAAGCTGTGCTGGCGGTCGACCAGGCTAGCTGCAAAGTTAATAGGTGTCTCATGTAGTCATTCTTGTCACTGTGAACTTTATCATTCTGTAATTTCGACTTTGCTAGTGAAACTCTTGCCAATTTCTCCCATGAATGTGCAAGTACCAAGGAACGCAAGCAAAGCTACGATCACTCCTAGTAGTTAGTGCCACCCCCGTAGTCCAGCTCACTGCCGTTGTTGAGTGACTCTCCGCAGCAATTTCGTCCTCGCGCAACCATTCCGCCTCATGCCATCTCGTCGCAATTCACCACTTCACGGGGAATTGCCTTAAGATGGCAATGTAATTGGTGAGTTGAGCGTGAGAAAGGAAGGAGGGGATGGGGTTTCCTGATCTCGTAGCAACGTTTCCCATTTTAGGCGTGAAATTTCGCAAATTGGCATTCAGCCCGAACCTGTTCGGCAGGTTCCGCACCCGGTTCCTGATTCCACGGCTATCTAAATGCCGTTGTTGTTGTTGTTGTTGCTGTTGTTCTTTTTTTTTCTCTCTCTCTCTCTCTCTCTCAAAATTTCCAGTGCTGGCGAACATCGCCATAACTACAGCCTAGTGTGGCGTGGCCCCAACATCAAAATAATGACGACAGGAGTGACACTCAAATGTGTCACGCTTCAACGATCGAACCCTTGTGCACCACGCAACAATCTTATAGAGTGTCACCACCAGCCGTCGCACATGATTGATATGGTCGGATCACACAACACGATGCTAGGTTGGTTGGACCCGGATAGGTTGTTAGAGATAGAACGTAGGAATGGCCTAATGTGTTGTACTCCTTAGAGTATGCCCCAATATAGCCTAGAGATAACAAATGCAATTTGAAACACCCCCATTGGCAAAGTGGGGGATAGCAAACACAACGGACGGTCATAAGACCAACCAAGCAAGAGAACAAAACAAAGCAGAGCTCAGAGTGGATCTCAAGATCACCACGCATTCTGAGCACAAGCAAGCGGCCACAAGGCCAGTTCACATGCAGAATTATAAAAGCACAAGCAGTACGGTGAACACAACCTAGCAAGAACAAGCATGCAGGTACATATATAGATCATAGTACAAGACAAGTCAAGCAACCAGCAGGTGAGGCAGAATGGGCCGAAGCCCAAGAGTAGTGCAAAAACGCTCATCATCACCATACCCGAGGGCCTTGGTGAAGACATCAGTAGTGTTGGTCCGAGAGGCCACGTAGGAAAGGCGAAGATGGAGACGCTGCTGCAGCTCTCGAGCAAGAAAGTAGCGAAGAGCAATGTGCTTCGTTCTGTTCTCCAGTCTCTGCTCCTGACACAAGGCAAGCATGGCCTTGTTGTCGATGTACAGAACTGGAGGAGAATGAGGCCGCTCCCCCAAGTCGGACAAGAGGTAGGTCAGCCAGCGTAGCTCCTATGCAGCCATAGCCCCAGCGTAGATCTCGGCCTCACAGCTGGAACCAAGCACAGAAGAAGAATCAGTGGACCTCCACGAGATAGAACCAGAGCCAAGATTGAAGGTGCAACCCTGTGACAAACGCTGTGTCGCCTGATCGTCGGCCCAAGAAGCGTCGGAGTGTCCTGTGAGTACCACTGAACCCCATCCTCCAAGCACGAGCCCTATGCCCGATGTACTGCAAAAGTGATGAAGTACCCTCTTCGCAGCATCCCAATGCACCTTTCGGTGTCTACCGGGAGCTACGTAGCGAGCCAGGAGGCTGAGAGGGTACGCAAGGTCAGGCCGTGTGCACGTCATCACGTACATGAGACAACCCACAAGCTCTGGATACGGACCACTCGGCTCTACGGACTTGTTCAAAGGTGGAGCTGAGAGCGAGTGACCTGTAGGCAGAGTAGTGGGCTGTGGCGAGGAGTACTGGAAGCCGAAGCGCTGACAGACCTGGTGCACCACGTGTGACTGAGTCAGGGTGATGGTCTGCCGTGCTCTGTCCCCGGTGACCTGGAAGCCAAGAAATCTCCGCAGCTCATCCAGGTCAGCGAAGGTGTGTCTCTCCTGTAGCTCCGCCTTCGCCTTAGTGTCAACTGTAGCAAAAGCCAAGTCGTTGACGTACACGAGTATGTAGAACAGCGGCAAAGAAGTGTCGTTGTGTAGAAACAGCGACGCGCCAGCAGAGGAAGGAGCAAACCCAAGAGCCGCAAGCGTCGTCCTCAGTGTGTCGTGCCACCCGCGGGGCGCCTGCCGGAAACCGTAGTCTGGCCGCCGGAGGCTCCACTGGGTACCTGCAGGAAATGACCCAGTGAAGCCAGGTGGGCGGCGCAGCCAGATCTCCTCGTGAGGCTGCCCTGCAAGGAAGCTGCGGAGAAGTCGAGGGAGTGCAGCTCGTAGTCACGCTGTGCTGCAACGTGTAGCAACACCCGAAGAGTAGTCATCTTCGGGGTAGGGGAGAAGGACTAGAAGAAGTTGACCCCCTGTCGCTGATTGAAGCCTCGAGCAACGTAACGCGCCTTGAAGCCATGCGGAGAATCCGGCGGCCGCTTCACTCTAAAAAACTACATGCTATCGACTATGTTCGCCCAAGGAGGAGGAACCTCGTCGATGTAGGTGCCTGTGGTCTTCTTGGAAGCCATCTCTGCGTCCATGGGTGTCTGCCACTGAGAGGAGTGCTCACTTGCAATCGCCTCATCATAAGAGCGCGGGGTAGGGATATCAAGTGCATCCGGGTCTCCCTTAGGACAAAGAAGCATGGATGCGAAAAGTGGTAAAGCGACCGCAAGACAAGCTCAAATTGCCTGTCCTCAAGGACGTCACTGCCAAGGGCAGGCTCACCCCGGACGGACGGAGGACAAACGGACTAAGAATCAGTAACAAGACTCGCGTCGTAGTCGAGACAACTCCTAACAGCAAAGTTGACTAGCTCAGCGACTAGGGCAAACGCAGCAGTAGACTCAAAGTCAGGGTCAGTTACAACAGTAGCGAGGAGACGAACGACAGTAGGATTG